TGTGACAGCGAGGCCACCTCGGACAGGAGCCAGGCAGTCGCAGGAAAGCAGCGTTGCCCTTTAGTCTGCAGCAAAGGGCCCACGGCACCCTGGGGTCCACTTCCCCCTGGGGTCCACTTCCCATAGGCTGGAGCACTCCTGAGAAAGGGGGGTCAGTGTTGTCCTGAGTAGCTGAACTAGGTGGCCAGGTTACTGCTCCCCAAGCTCTGGGGCCTTCCTCCCACCTGGCAGAGTTGAGTCCCATTTCCTCAAGTCTCCCACAAGGGTCCAGACCAATCATGGGGAGCAGGACTGTTTTCTCTGAGGGCCTTGGGGCTCCCTGCCGTACACTGAGCCTGTAGCCCAGTTAAACTCCCAGGACTCCATTGTGATCTGGGGGTGGGAGACAGGCTAAGGTTCTGGTCTCAGCTTGCCATATTGTCCCAGGTGACCTTTGCAGTCACGTCCTCTGAGCCTTGGTTTACCTCTGTACAGGGTTCTGGTATGAACAGTGAGATGACACCTATAGATACTCCAGTAGAGCCCTGAGAAGGGCAGCAGCACTCAATGACTCCAAACTTGCTGAGCTTTCTGACCTGCTCGCTAGTCTCAACCTCCTCAGGCCATGAGGGAAGAACAGAAAGTGGCAGAGTCACCATCACAGGTGTCAGCCTTCTCTTGGGAGGCTGGCTGTGCTAAGTGCTTCAAATGCATCCTTTCCTGGTCCTTGAGAAAGCCCTGAAGTTGCTGCTATCATACCCACTTCATGAAAGCTGCCTATGCCTGTGACTGAGCTGCGGCGGCTGTGGTGTACACCAATGAGGCCCAAGGCTTGGATGGTCTCTTGGAAGCTCACGGTAACCATGTGATACATCCCAGCCACAAGGAAACAGAAAACTGGCCAACTGCAGCACAGGGAGCTCAGCTGAGGGCAGGCAGTCCATTTGGTACATGGGAGCCAAAGGCAGGGCCAGAATGCCATCACCCCCCAGCAGGAGCTGTCCTGGGGTCACAGGACCAGAGGGCAGCAGGCCCCTCCTGCCTCTTGGCCCATTCAGATCTCAACTCAAAATGAAAAAGCCCAGCCCAGTGGATTCTGAATCGCTTGAGTAACCCGACCCTCAGGGAGGTGCCCAGTGGATATAGAGCTCAGTCTCTGCTTGGAGTCTTCCATAGGTGAGGGATCTTCAAAGCCACTTCAGCCACCAGAACATGGAGGGAGAGTGGAGAGAAGCCAGCTGAAGCAGTGGCTGCACACAGTAGGACCAGACTGCGAGCTCAGCATTCAGCATGGGGAGGGGACCATTTGTCTCATTCAGGGGCCAGTAATTTTCTGTAAAGTTTCAGGTAGTAACTTTACAACTTGGTCAACTTGGCTAGGCCATGGTGTCCAGTTTTTAACCACACACCAGTCCAGATGTTGCTGCGAAGGTATTTTTCAAGATGTGATTAACATTTAAATCAGTAGAGTTAAAGTAAAGCAGGTTACCCTCTATAATGTGGGTGAGCTTCATGCAATCAGTTGAAGGCCTCAGGAGAGAAAAGACTGAGGTCACCGGTGTTTCCTGGGATTTTTATATCTGGTAAAACAAACTAGAATTTACTGTATCAGAAGAAATGTCCAGGAGTCACACTGGTGAGCCCAGGAGAAGCCCTGGCAGCAAAGGCCTCAGACAAGGCAGGAGGAATTCTGCTTCCAGACGGCCTGTGGACTTAACTGCAAATTCAACTCTTCCCTGGGTCCCCAGCCTGCTGGTCTGCTCTGCAGATTTCAGACTTGCCAGCTCCCACAATTGCAAAGCAATTCCTTAAAATGAATCTCTCCCTAAACACACACACACACACACACACACACACACACACACACACACACACACCCCACTGCCCCCACTATTGATTCTGTATATCTGGAAAACTCCAGTATCGAGACTATTTAATGTCTGTTGCCAATTACTCAACAATGCTGCTATAGTGAGGAAGCAACCATAGACACTGCATAAACAATGGATATGGCTGTGTTCCAATAAAACTTTATTCATAAAAACAGTCAGCAGGCTGGATTAAGCCTGCATAATGTGCTGACCTCCTGTCTGACAAATAAGCAAAGTACCTGGCATAGAGAAGGCAGTTTGAGTTATAAGTTTCATTTTTTAAATTCTGTAGAATAAAACTGAATAAATAAATGAATCATTGAGACTGATAAGTATGTTTGCTGGCTATGACTGAACAGCTTGAGTTTAGGAGTACAGGCAGCAGATGGGAACTTTCCCAATATCTTTGATTTCCGTTGTCTTGACAATGGTCTGACAAGGATATCTAGCTTGAAGATACAGCCCCTGGCATCTCAGGGAACACATCCAAGGAAGGAAAAAAACGCTATGGGGAAGACACTATGCCCTACTCCCTCACCAGCCTACCTTGGCCATAGACGCAGCCTCTGACATTTCCCAGGAACTAGCTGGAGGCAGCAGCATAGGAACTAGAATTTATTTTACCACAGGAAACATCCAGAAGACACACTGGTGGGCCCAGGAGACGCCCTGGCAGCAAAGCTGCAACAGCTATGCACAGCCATCCACAGTGGGGAGAGTGGCTTGGTGCCTGCGCTGGCTCCCAGGCCCACAGTCTCGCTTGGGAAAGAGCCAGAAGAACCCAGGCCATGCCTGCAGAGGAGCTGCTCCAAGCTGACCCTGAGAAGGGCCATGACACAGACCCCTGCTTAACGGGACACCCTTGTGTGCTGGTTCCCCAGGCTGACTGCTCCTAGAGTAGGGGCAGCGCACAGAACGTGCCTCTCACACGTACTCCCCACAGTCAGAGATGATCACCGTCTGCTTTGGCTTTCCATCTTTGCTGCCCTGGGCCTTTGTGGGTGGAACAGAAGAGGGGAAACCAGGGGAGGGAGGGTAAAGATTAAAAGGTGGCTCAAGGACAGCCCCCAACTCCCAGCCTGAGCAGAGGCAGCCTTGGCCCCTCTTTCCAGGCCACAGGGCGCCTGCTCCAGCTCTCCCACCGGGCTGGGCACCAAGGAAGGGCCCAGGCGGCCACCCACCTCAATCTGCCGCAAGACATCCAGGCCTTCTGTGACCTCCCCAAATACCACGTGCTTGCCATCCAGCCAATCTGTCTTGTCACACGTCAGGAAAAACTGGGAGCCATTGGTGTTTGGGCCAGAGTTGGCCATAGAGAGCAGGCCTGGGGGAGAAAAGGAGCATGTCAGCTCCCTCCACCCAGGCTACCAGCCCTCGGAGGATGAATATTCATACTATCAACCACTCTTCAGCCAGGCAGACTCTGGGATGTACAGACCATGCGGATGCCTTGTCTTCTACTCAAATGATCGTCAATAAAATGATAATCAGCATTGTTTCAATCATTTTATACTGGTTTGTCTTTTCATTCATTCATCCAACAAATATTTATTGTCTACTGCTGATCCCTCGGGACACTGGTCCCAGCTCTGGTGGAGCTCACAGTCTAGTGGAAAAGTCATTCTGGAAAAATCACTCAGGAGAACTGTGCTGTGACAGCCACAACACAATGAAGCCCACTGATACAGACATCTATGCAGGGAACAAAAGCACAAAGGGCAGTCACATAAGAGTGTGTGTGAATGTATCATGAAGGCTGGTGTCACTGTCATGGAAGGCTTTCTGGTGGAGGTGCCATCTGAGTTTAGTCTAAAAGGCCCAGGTTTGGTGGGGCTGAGGGGCATGAGGAGCTGCAGCTGACCTGTGGCGGTGAGAAAGCCCACTCGTGGCTGGGCCTCTGTGCCGTGTGCTCCCTTTGGATAGGGACTGTGTCCCTTTCTACTCTCAATGCCAGACTAGAGAACAGGGTGTCTGACACATAACAGACCAGCCCTGGGCATATGTTTTAAATAGTCAAATACTTATTGTATGTTTACTATGTGTCAGACGCTTTTCCAGAGCACAATGGTGATAAGAAAGCCTGCGTCCTGCCCTCATGAGGCTGACATTCTCAGAAAGAAGACAGAAAATCAATAAGAAAAACAAATTTGTAATATAATTTCAAGTAATAAGTGTGATAAGAAATGAAGCTGACTAAAAAGAATGAGATGGCAGGAAAGTCCATTTAGAGGGAGATCAGGGCAGGCCCCTCAGACGAGGTGACCCGTGTGTGACACCTGAAGGAAGTGAGGGGTGAACCGTGTGGGAACCAGAGGAAGAACGCTCCAGGAGAGGACATGGCATTTGCCGAGGCCCTGAGGGGAGTGAGCCCTCGGTGTGTGAGGAACAAGGGGGACCGCGGTGGGGACGGGACGCACGGGGCAGAGTGTGCAGTCAGCGATCGTGGGGAGGTGCCTGGCCCCAGGTCGGTGGGCCCCACAGGACCGGATCCTACGAGCGATGTGGCCACGAGGGGCTGTCAGCAGAGCGATGTGATGGGACTTCTGTTTATAAAGCTCGCTCTGACTACCCCTCGGAGACTAGACTACGAGGGTGAAGAGGCAAGAGCAGGAACAGGGA